TGCCAGATGCAATCTTCACAAGCTGCCTCAGCCAAACTTCAACTGCAACTTGACAAAGTTCCCGAGTGAGAATTTCTGTGATGTGTTGAAAATCAAAGTCTCTTTAAGCAATATGGCAACATGCTGATTTCTAAGAAGTTCAGGACGTGTATAAAGGTATCTAATGCCTAATGGAGAATTCATTGTGCTGGAAATCAGAGTAAACAACCCAAAGTACCTCAACGTTGACTTCCTTTCAGCTGCTGCTAAGTTGCTATGGCAAATCTTCAGATTCTGTTCCTCATGGCTCAATAAAAAAAGAACCAGAACACACTCATTTTTAACACATAATGTTTTGTGTTTGTACAGTATATACTTATCAAAGCTATGAAATGCTTAGCACTAATTACAGCTAGAAGAAGACAAGAATGTAGTTTGCACTGTGCATAGTTTTTATAATTAGTGCAGCATGGGGAGGAACAAAAAGATTGATCTTAAACTTCCTCATCTTATTGGGAAGAGGCTCTGCCCGTGGTTACACTTCCCACTGTAGTGCTCTCCCCTGGACAATTGGTGCAGAGGCAGCTGCAGAACTAATTCTTCTGAAATTACAGCTGGATCCAACCCTGTCCCAGCTCTGTTTTCGATACCCACTTTACAGCCAACTGTACAATTCTTATTGTGCTGATATATTTAAAAGCAGTGCTGAAGTTGAAATATCTGCATTTCAGTAAGCTCAACCAGTCCCTTTATACAAGGCAACAAGTAGCCATGATTAAGTGCAATGATGTTTGGTCACCAATGGTACTGAACGGATTTTAAACAGTGAAGTGGCAATGAAAGGGCTGGGGGGTTGTGAAGCTTTTGAGTTGTTTCTGCAGCTTTTGAGTTGTTTCTGCAGAGTGATGCACCTCCTTTGTGGCTTTGGACAATTGGAATTTTTAATTATAGACATTATTTCAGAAGCTGTCTGGTTTGAATAAAGATTAAAAGGTGCCGTGGCTGTTTAAGCTTATCTAATTATTTTTCATCTGTAAATCAACAACAGACTGGAAGAAGGCAGTTCTTGGATGTCAGATGATTCCTGAAAACCTTTTCTTTGTATATCTAGTAGCAATTACCAAAGTATCTACTTTTACCCTCAGAAATCTAGCACAAGTACTTGAAGCTCAGGAGGAATCTAGTAAATCAACAGGAAAACCTCTTCATCATGCTTAAGTTCTCAGTTTCCTCCAAAGCTTGGCAATTTTATACTAAAGTTTCAATGGCTGCTCACATTCACCAAATATTTTAAAGGACTGTACTTCTCTGATGCTTAACTCTTCAGAAGGCTGTCATGTTCCATAGCTTGTGGGTTAAATAACATGATCTGGTATTTCCTAAGAGTATCAATAGTCACCACATGTAGCCTGAAAAATTTGACTATGGATCTGGACCTAGAAGGACAAAGCAAAGCACGTATCTATTTCAAGACAACCAAATATATAATCTTACAAGAGCAGATTTTAAAACCTGGAGCCAAAAAGACAAAAAGGAAGATATGAATTTGCATAAGAAACACTAAAACCCCCGCTACGTATGTATATAGAACAGCATTTAGCTGGTGGTGGGTTTGTTTACTTTCCTCATTAATCATGAGCTGATGGCTGAATTCCAATGAATTAAAAAGGATAATAGCAGAAATTTATTTAGCCTTTCATTTCTCAGTTATTGAATTCAAATAAAGTTAATTCACTTTCACCAACAAAAAATTATAAATAATAAAATTTGCTATGTTTCATATCTATTCTCTCACTTTCTGCTTTTCTTTCTGTATTTCTTTTCATTAACAGAGAGATTTAGTGACAAAGAGAATGTGGGCTCCCAAAAGAGTTAACAGCATTTTCTACTGCTCTGTCCTCCCCTCAGGTCTCACACTTTGCCTTTAGTGTCATGGACTTTCTGATAGCATCCCAAACAGAGATATAGGGTCTGTGATACAAAAGGAACAGGTAGTACTGAAAAAAAAAATGTGGAAATTCCTGGGAAATATTCCAGGAAGCATCATAAAGACAGACTGGGATAAAGAAAGAAAACAAAACAAAAATCAGAAACACCAGAGAATGCACAGATAAAAGATCATGTTGAAGAGCTACACAATTTCTTCTGAACAAATAATTCTTGATTGCTTTCCTGTGGTTGTATACCCTGCTTAAGTGTGACTTTTAATTGCTTTCAGCTAACTGCTTCTAGTCCTGCATTCAACCCATTTTCCCAATATTAAATTTTACCTCACTTCATTTAATATAACTTCTTTGATATAGAATCATAGAATTGTTTAGGTTGGAAAAGACCTTTAAGATCATCAAGTTCAATTAAAAATGCTATGCTATTTTAGTAGGGGCTGGATGGGGAAATCACAGTCTGTAAGGTAAAGAAGAAAACCCCGCATCCAATGAAGCCCACATCCACTGGCAAATCTGTTTACAGAGCTTTGATTTTTCTCACCCTCTTTTCTGTTGGCTTTTCTATGAGCAGATAATGACACTTATTTTCAATTATTACAACCTATACGGACCTTAATTTATTTCCTTGTGCTGCCTAGAACACAGTTATTTACTTTGATTAAGCTCTCTGGCTAAAAAATAACTATGCTTGTACTTGGTGAAGGACAGCAAAATCACTACATCCCAAAGAAAGGAAAACAGCAAACTTGAATCATAAACTTGGCATTACAGCTACAGATTTGCAACATACGGTAATTTGCTTCTAGTTCTCTTGCACATGCTGACCAAAATAATCCATTGAAACAGAAACATCCTGAGTTGTAAGAATAAAAGAAAAAAATGCTAAATCCCAAATATTTTACATGGGTCCCTGGCTGTAAAGAGTTTATCCGTAAAGTAAAAATTTCAGTCTCTGAAAACAAGCACATTTCTGAACCCACATTTATTTTTTCCTTAGTGCCTAACGTAGACATAGGCTACCTTTGCAATTAGCATATATGATTTGAACCAACAGTGCCTAGCACAATGCTGCAGGCGCTGCTGCACTACAAACACATTATGATACGTGAAATACAGAGCCTCTCAAACAGACTTCTCAGAGTTGGACACAGCCAATTGTGTGGGTTTGACTGCAAAAAAATTATGCTAACAAAAGTGACTGAGGCTTTTGAGGTTTTGTGCCTGAGAGGTTTGGGGCATTTTTTGGAACGACTCTGGAATAAAAGAACAGTTTTTGCATTTATGGCTTGGGAAGTCATATTTAGATATGCAGCTAAGACATCAAAGATTCCTGCAGTGAAGCACCAGGGCATATCAGCTTAGTGAGACAGACCACATCCAGAATTCATGAACTAGCAGAAAGCCGGGCTCATCAGTGCACACAGAGCAATACCACAGAGAAGAAGTAGGCTAGTCCAGATGCGGCACAGATTCATTAGCTCGGCTCAGTGTGCAAGCTAATAAGCCTCAGTTCTCAGCAGGGCTTACCAGGTCGGTGCTGATACAGGGGTAATTGAGCTTTGCTGCAGCTCAGACCAGTAGGTTGTTCAGGACCCTGTGTTAGCCCTTTAGGTGTACACCTGCATTAACTTGTGGTTGCTGGCTTGGACTTCTTGCACCATTGCTCCCCACATTTTGGGTTCTTGGTTTACCTCAAGCAAAGTATGCTTGGGTCCATCCTTACATGTCCAATGACTGTATCTTTTCATAAAATGCAAATTCAGGGAGCTGACCAAAGCCTTTGACATCAAAGTCACTCTGTGTTTGGTCTGGAAAAAAACTACCGCAGGTGGAATAGCTCCAGAAGGAAACACAAAGCCGGAGAGGTCAGAGAAGGTTACAGATGCATCGAAAACCATGACACTTCCAACCTGACCTTGCCCAACAGCAAGATCGCTTGTAACAGTGATCCATATCCTTTCAGTCCTTGCTCTTTCTGGCAGCAGAACCAATTAGGACTTCATGTGGTTGCTGCACACTAGAATAAGATCATCCATGCTAACATTTAAGTTTTCCCTTCCTTCTCTGCTACCTTACCCTTTCATGCTGAGGGCATAATGACAAAATGTAGAATTTATCCTTAATTGGATCTCTGCAATGTTATCACCTGAATTAGCTTCCCCCATGAATAATTATCACTGCCTGGAGGCTGACAAATTGCTTCCCTCTACTTCATGATTGTCAGGAATTTCAAATTATATGCTGAGCATGGGGGGGGGAAATGAAAATTAAAAGCCTAGAGAAGCATAATTATTAAGATTATTAAAATATTTGGCACAGAGTCCCATAGTATCCCCAAGTCCCAAAAGGTGCGAGTGACAGCAAGAACTTTGCTAGGGGCAATTCGGCAACACCCAGTCTTTCACCCAGCAATGACTACGGCAATAGACTTGCACAGTCAAAGCAAAACTATAACAACTGCTACCGCCTGGCTCGCAGTTCGACAGTTCCTATGTTATTCACTACCCCATTTAAGCTATGTACATCAGCTTGCTTAGCATCTCATCTGCATGTTTGATCTTGCTAGGTAAATGGTAAATTCTTTGTAGCATAGGCTGATAGAAGGGTAAACATATGCAAAGGGATAGCAGCAGATTGTCATGCATTTAGAATAGCATACAACAGTCCTTGCTTTGTAAGAACAAGGTCTTGGGGAAAATGTGCTCTTTATGAGAATAATCATTCCATGCCTGGGCAAGACCTCACACAGAAACGCAATGCGTCACTACACCACAATATCCATCTCAGATATTAAAAGAGCTGACAACTGGTAAGAAATCTTCATCTCATAAAACCAAATCACTATAAAAGTATAATGCTCTTTGAAAATGGCTTGAAACAATGGGATTAAGCAATAGGGCTTTATCCAATTTTCACATTAATGATGATGTGCTTGTAAGATTGATGCATTTCTCAGTTCAATTCAATGCAGTTCCTCAAACTTCTTTCCCACCTCGCCAAACCCACGACACACAAGTCAGGCATACACAAGGTAGCTGCCAACGTATTCATAGGAGAAAAGGTCTCCCTGCTTACCTGACATACAGTGACCTCTTCTGATTAGTCCTCAGGGAGCCGGACCCAGAACTCATGCTGTGATTCATCATCTGCTCACGCAGGTCATGGATTTTTGCCTCAAACCGAGCGTACTCTGAGGAGATAAAAAAACCAGAGAATAAAGATATTTTAGTTTTCTTGACCTATATAATCATTAGGGCTGCTAAATGCGAATTAATATTAAATGAATGAGTGTAAGGTACGTCCTGAAAATTGAGGTCTAATAGAACCTCACATTAATATATTATTTTAGGTAAATATATGCCCTCTTTATTGTGGTACCTGAATATTTCAGCACTGACTATGTGAAAAGTCAAATAGCTAGACCCTCTCTCCGGCAGTTTCAGGAAAGGAAAGGAGGTTTAAAGTGTGTTACCAAATATCTTTCAGTGTGTAAAAAGGATGTTGAAAGCAGTTTTCCAGTATATCATTCCTCCTTCCAAACAATGAGATACCTTGTTAGGGTCAGTGGGATGATGCACCGAAGTTACGGAGTCAAGTGTTGTAGTGCAAAGTCCCACTGGACTGAAGGAGATATATGAAAGTCTAATTACCCCTGAAGCAGCTGTGAAATCGTTGTATGAGCAATAAGCCACCTTATTTACCCAGTCCACTGAGGACTGGGCTCTGTTTCTTTTAAATAGGTGGAGCCATAGCTCGGTCTTAGGGTGGGTGATCCCAGAAATTCCAGACCTGTTTAAGCTGCATGAGAACGGCATGAAACTACCTCCCACACCTTTTTCTCCTCCACAGCTTTGCTAGTAGCTTTGTAAAACTGTGACCTGCTGACCAGCAACATGGGACCAGCGTTGGGGCAAGGATTCGGCTAGAGGTGTATCATCTGGTGAGGCTCCTCTCTGAAAGGACACCTCCCTCTTACAGCCTGGTCAACGGTCCCTCCTGCTGGCACATTCCCCGTGCTCACTGTGTGACCTAATGGGCTGAGTTTTGTTTTGCAAGAGGAAAAGTTGAAGTTTTGGAGACAAGCTCTAATTCCTTGAAACCGACAAACTAAAGGCAATGCTCCAGCAACACAGAGAGTCATAATTCAACCTAAACCTGGGAAATCTACCAGTGTGAGCTAGAAGACAACTTGAGGGGGTGTATAAAATCCATTTCAGTGAGTCAGTGACACTTTGAAGAGTAAGATGTTGCAGACTGATGCCAGCAAAGAGAAGATGATGTTCCCTGCACCTCAATGTTTTATTTCATTGCCTGCTTCAAAAGGAGGGTCTACATTTCCCCACAGCAAGTCTGGAGCAGAAGTGAAACAAGCACACAAGGTTTCCTCCCTTAAAGAATGTACGTACATTCCACCAAATCACACCGTATCTCAGTTTAAGCAAGTAAATCTTTACTGTGCATTTATAACCTATTGGTCTGCTCCCTGTTTGTTGCTGTTTGAGCTACGTAAGAATGCTGTAAACCAGCTATATTCTCATTTTCTCCTAGCAGAAATCTCAGCATTATTTTTGTTTATCATTTGCCGTTCACACTGGCTCAGTTCCCAGAGTGTCTAGATGCTTTGCAACAACAACTAATTCATTTTATTAAGTGCCCTTTAACTTCTCATTGGATAATAACATCTGACTTTTCCAAGGTCCCACATTTTGCATGGATGCTAGCTACCTTCAAGCTGGTTTAGCAGGGTGGTTTGATTTGGGCTTTTGTGTTTGGTTTCTTTCCCTTCTTCTTCTTACTTGATGTGTTTTAACTCCCTTCCCACTCCCTTCTTTGGCATTACCTACTGAGTTTGTTAAGTGGCAGTGGCTACTTTGCCAATCAGCTGGGAACCACTGCTGTGGTATAAGACTCTTCAGTCTTCCCACATATCTATGACTATCACTGACTGCAGCTGAAATTCTGCATATCAGGAGAAGAGACACTCCTACATGCAGACTGTATTTCAGATTTATTTTGTAGCTTGTTTCTTGCTCATTTCTTGCACCTAGAGTACATCTTTAAACTTCTCGGTGATTTAAAATCCCACATCCTCAGAGGAACTAAGGCTCCTACAAACCTGTATTGTTTTTTAAAGTGGAGTTTAGTTTTGAAGTGTTTATCCCAGTGTAGGACTTGTTTGCTCTATGTGAGTCATATTTGTTCTATTCCCCCGCTCTAGAATTTATTTAGTAAATAATCATCTTCTGAGCAGGGCTTTGTTTAACTTGTATTTCATTATAGCAGATTTAACATTTCTTCTTGGCAAATAGGAAAGGTGATCTTAAAAACAAAAAGCTTGCATTTCTCTTCATACATTGTCAGTCCTCTGCATACGGACAGAATACTACAATTTTAAGGTTTGTTACTAGGTCTTTTTCATGTGTGGTGGATACACTGAAGAAGTCAGTAAACACAGAGTGTAATTCAGCTTCTTTGATGTTTTATGTCTGGGTGAGGCCACAGATATGAATGATTTACATCAGAGTAGCTGTAATGGCAGCTTTCCCTTTAATAAGCAACCATACCATATCCCAGGCAGACTCTGTATGTGAGGCGTGGGAGTAGCTCCCAGATTTAGACACTGATTTGGAGAGTGAGAAGAGGGGATTGAAAATCTGACTCTCTCTAGCACAGCATCCAGCTATTTGCAACTTGAACACCAGCTCATGAGATCCTCGGATGACTACGGCTTGGTCAGATGATGATATTATAGCTTGTGTTCTGACTTCAGAGCACACTTGTAATTTAACTGATTTTAACTGACTGTAAATTTATTCTGAATTTAGTAATATCTCTTTTTCCAGAGGACATTTTGAAACCACAACATATGTCAAAAATTGTCTAATAAGTGTGTGATGGAAGTTCAGGGTTCAAGCTACTGCTCCCTGCTTGATATTAAAAAATCCTGAAGTACTAATGACAGTTCTGTTACTTTGTGTTCTTGAGATGTTTTTCCTTTGGATTGAAATACACAGATGATTTGAAAATAACCAAATTTATGGGCCTATTTTCCTACAGTACCTTCTTCATATTATGCATCAAAAAATACTGAAGTGTACACCTGCCTCTCCTGACAAACGCCTGAACCAAAAACTGTAAGGCCATCAGTGCAGGTAGTATTTAACCCAGCTCAGATAGGGATTTTTAATTTCAGTCCTCCTAGTTCTCCTTCTGATGCCTAGATACTACAGTGACAGCTGCATTTGAAATGTGAACAGAAAAAGAGAGAGTGATGCTCAATTTCTGCCATCAGAACAGCTATGGTAGTCCGGCCCACTGGGAAAAAGTCCTTTTTTCTTAACACTTCTTTACATATGGGGTCATTCCAGAGGTGCTGCTTCCTAATAGCTTTGCATTTGCTAGGTGTGAATAAGTGTCAGTGCTAAAGTCCAGAAAAACACTTCATGCTTCCTTCAAATTCAGCAATGAATTTAAATAACACACTTTCAAGGCTCCTACACAATTAAAAGGACACTGAGGTTGTGACATACTGACAAGAAATACAGTTAAAGCTGATTCACTAATTTCATGCCCTTTAAAGAAAGGGAGAACAAAGACAGTATTGCTGCTGGAGCGCATCATTAGCGAAATTTGCCAAATTTTACTTACCAAAATCCATCTGCAAAGGTCCTACCCATTGCTGATTCACTAATGATCTAGCAAACTACCTCTGGGAGCTTAAGAAACTGATAAAGTTATGCATTAGACTAAAAGGGCAAATAGGTGAGCAAACCGTAACCTATATTAATGCTGGGGTCAGACCAGATGGTATAATGGTTTGTGCTGGTCTGTGGCTCTGGAAATGCTGTAAGAAACTGGGCAGATGAGACGGAGGGAGGTGTTTGCTCATACTCCGCTTTAGAGCTGGCTCAGGGCTCACAGCAGGGTAGGCAGACCTCCATTTAGCCATCCCAAGGGTACAAATACAGCTTGCTAGCCCTGGAGATGTGGAGCTAGTGCCGTTGGGTGTGGGAGAGGAGATTGCTGCTGCGAGGAATGGCCTGGCTGCAGGGACAGCAGGACCATTTTCAGGGCTCTGGCGCTGACATTTTGGGCTCTGTGTGGGCTGCCAGCCCAGCAGTGCTGTCCCAAGCAAGCACCCATTTTTCCAGGGATCTATTTTCTGGTCTGGGTGTTGGTCTCTTCTCCCAAGCAGTTAGTGATAGGACGAGAGGAAATGGGCTCAAGCTGCGCCAGGGGAGGTTTAGGTTGGATATTAGGAAAAATTTCTTCACGGAAAGGGTGGTCAGGCATTGGAACAGGCTGCCCAGAGAGGTGGTGGATTCACCACCCCTGGAAGTGTCAAAAAACAGGTAGATGTGGCACTTGGGGACATGGTTTAGTCTAGTCTACCCTTGATTGGTTTAGTGTGGACTTGGTAGTGTAGGTTAATGGTTGGACTGGATGATCTTAAAGGTCTTTTCCAACCTAAGCAATCCTATGATTCTATGATTCTAAAGTTGGATCTGCTCAACTCTCTGGGCAGTCAGGAGAGAGAAGTCTTAGATACATTTGAGACACCAAAAATAAATGCAAGAAACCACACCTCAAGAAATTTTTAGAAAATCATAGTGAAATTCAAATAATTTCTAAATCTAAAAGAAGTAAAGACAGAGATTTTATATCTGTTGGCTTGGTGCTACTCTTTGGTCATATAAATAAAGAATAGCTATGATAAATGAATAAATATGCTGCAGCTCTTCTATGAGAAAGAGTTGCAGAATTTTATAAAGCTACATTATTGTTATTTTTCACTTTTAAGTTTATAATAAAGATTATAGCTTTGATTGAATTTAGAGAATGTGAAAACAAAAAATCCCTGATCCTACAAGTAAAGTATAGTTAAGCAACTGGAATGCTGATGTATTATACAATAGTGAAGATAATAGTTCAGCATCACAGTCCAAGTCTTTATTAGTTTGAACTCTTTTAGTGCTGGCACCTTTAGAGAGACAGCAATTCTTTCTGTCAGCAGGTATCAAAATTTGCTTTCCTGTGTAATTCAGGATCACCCCTGTTTGCTTCTAGATGATAACAGATTTCCTAATTGCTGCTTTTGTGCTTCAAAAATAATACATCTCTAACCCACTTCAGCAAATGGTGAAGCAGTGATGGCTATAATGCAAGTGGGGGGTTGGAAAAGGTA